CTGCCTATACAGATCTGTAGTTAAGTACATTCTTTTCATTTCCTGCTTAAGTAGCTGCACTATCTGTTACTAAAATGCTCTAGTTAATGATGTCCTCATTTACAAATTAGTATATATTCGTTATTTCTCTTCTTCCGGTGGCCCCCTACTGCTCTGTGTGCCAACAAGGGGGAAGGAGACTACTTTCATGCTTCTGCCTAGCAGCCTGACTGCATGCTATAAGCCACAAAGAGAGAGTTCCAGGCACTTGAATGCTCAGCTGTTTTACTGGGCTCCTTAATCAATAAGCTGATCTATGAAAACAGATAAATTATGTCTACACCCATAACTGGAAAGGCCAAATGGCTTAAGGAGAGAGGTGATGGAAGGAGTAGCTCATGGGCTATTCTGTCTCCAGCCAGTTGGGTCCACCTGATTCTTGGTAACTGTGAACAGGCTTCAGTGAGAAAGGGGTTTTTTGTTTTGTTTTGAAAGGCTGGGAGATGAGGCACCAGTAGGCACAACAGAGTAAGTTGCCAATGCACTCCCACTGCTGAAGGCACTGCTAAAAGGGAGCAGGGAAGGGTGGGCAAGAAGAACACCTCTTCCTGCCTCCTTCCTTTTCTGTACTGGCTTGGGGTCTGGCACTTACCAGCGCTGGGATAGCAGATAAGCAGCTTCTCTGCCAGGAGGATGGTTTAGTTTGGTTAGTTGCTGAATTGCACCTTTCCCTGCACAAGACACCCAGGCATTCGACTTGTAGCTGAATCACAGCACCCACACCCGTCCATCAGAAACCATGTTAAATGCACAAGAACCAAAGGAGAAAATTACCCAGCTGAAGGTAAACAGTGTATGACACAGAGCTAGTGGAATACTTAACTTTACAGATGCTGTGAACTACACTCTACCTACACATACCACTTACAATAGGCCCCCTACTAAAATTGTCTCCTACTGCTAATCCTTTCCATATCTGAATCTCCTACTGTGATTTCCAAACCTGTTCTCCCCCACTACTTCCTGACAATTCACAGCGTTCTCATATAACCCAGAGTGCTACTCTAGCAGTGTCTGACAGGAACACCACTTTCTAAGGGTTTACCCGCTGGATCAGTGCGCAGCAATTGATCCAGCTGGGGTCGATTTATCATGTCTAGTCTAGACATGATTGATCGACCCCCCCCGAGCACTCTCCCATCGACTCCTGTACTTCGCCGCTGCGAGGCGCGCAGGCAGAGTCAACAGGGAAGCAGCAGCCATTGACTCACGCAGTGAGTAGATCTAAGTATGTCGACTTCAGCTATGTTATTCACGTAGCAGAAGTTGCGTAACTTAGATCGACACCCCACCCCCCCCACCCCGGGCAGACCAGGCTTAAGACATTATCACTTCAGGCAAGCACAGAGCAGTTGGAAAATAGGCTCAGGAGCACTAAGGACAGCCGTGTACACAGCTGCATAGCAGGAAAACCATTTGACTTTTTATCCATTTAAGTTTTCTAGGACGCTGACCTTTGCAAATGATGCCTGTATCCTTAAGACCACAGGACAGTATTCTAAAGTAACCTCCCAGAATTTTGCAGTATTTTTGGTAAGGATATTGCTACAGGACTTTACCTAAATCATATCTTAAATGAAACTACACAATACCCACTCAATATTAGTTTGTTTTTAATGGTAGTATAATTTTTATGATAGAGATGCAACAGTGGCTCTACAACAAAAGTTGCAACTAGCTTTTTCATTTGAGATTGTATACTGAAGGACTCACATGACAGGCGCGCATGTTTTGGAAAAACATTTATGGATTCTTTTTAATTAGAGTTATACTATACTTTATACAATGTCCATGAGACTGTCCATAAAACAGTGACAGTTGTATCTCGCTAATGCATGTTATCTGCCTTGCTTGATGCTCTACTTTTGGTTCAAACCTAACTACAGCACAACTTTGTAAAACTGACATTTCAGCAGCATGACAGAGCTGGATCTAAACTCTAATATGACCATATATTTTTACAATATTTTTGTGAAAACATTTTCTTAACTGAATAAAATTAAGTTGTAATTAATTGCTTGTAAGGTTTTTATTTGATTAAAATACACATTACATCCCGTTCTTAGTATATTAATTTATACATATAAAATCTTGCAATGCCAGCAGTGTGCTATGTACTTTGCAAGCAGAGAAGGCAAGATTCCTGCCTCAAGGAACTCAAACTCTTGGCCTCGTTTATTAAACACATAATGGATGACTATTACATTTTGCACAAGAATAATGGAACAAACAGAATTTTGCTGAGTAAATGAGAACTTACCTCGTTACTTCAGAGCTTATAATCATTTTTAAAGTTTTTTTGTTTAAGAATAAAAGCTTCAAAAGTGCCTTGGTACTCATGCACTTTTGAAAATTTTACCATTAATAACTGGCAGCTGGACTGAAATTTTACCACTGCACGTTAAAGGCGAGACCACTGAGTAGAGGAGCTATTAGTGAACAGTCAAGACACCAGTGCTTTTCTCTTTCTCTCCCTTAATTATTTGCACCAAGAGATTACAGGTCAACTAGCTGCCTAAATTACGTACCGTGTAGGGCTAATTGCTGCACGCCTTTGAGCACCTTGTAAACAATTCTGCGGTCTCTTTCTGCTTCGTCATTCTATTTTATTTTGGCGGTGCCAATTACTGAACACATTTGTTTGAATAAAAGCTCTTCCCCTTTCAGCTCATTTTCCTCCTCTTGACTAGAGTCTTCAGAGGAGTCAAAAACTTACATTTGTGATGACCTCTTCTATTGCCATCGAAATAACTGGAAAAAGAGTCGCTGAAGTTTAACCTGTCAAACTAACTAGAAAAAGCAGTCTCCATTTTGAACAAACAGAACATAGACCAGTGGCCATGTACGACCTACAGAATCGTGGAAATGTTAACTGTACATAATAAGGATATAATTACATCCATTGGCTCTTGTTATTTGTGGAACTTCAGGGCATTATTAACATGAGCAGAAGCCTGAGATGGAACAGCTGTCTTTAATGCACATTTGAGGAGGGTTTTTTTATTAGATGGTTTAAAAAAAGTTTCCTGGTCCTTTTTCCCCCTTCCTTCTCCTCTGCACCCATTTTCTATTATCAAGTTGAAATAGTCAAACTAGCTGCAGCTTTAGCAGCACTGACAGGGGCTTTCTAATCAAGCTCTTAAATATGGGAAACTTAAACTCCCGTTTTACTTTTTGTTAAAGTGAAAATTACATACGAGCTCTGGAGCATGAATGTTGCAGCCAGACAGCAGTTTTCAGTCATTTTTAATAATGGTTTGGTTAGAGTCTTTCCAATTTTTACTTTCAGCTTTTTTCCAGTGGCTGTTGCGGACAAGAAGTGCACTAGCCACTGGGCCTGGCCAACAGACTTGGTTTTCCTGCCACTTAGTTTACATTGTATCATTTCCTTTGCATCCAGCCCTGGAAACTGGGCTAAGCAGGGGAGAACTCAGTAGAACCTGTATGTGCAACAGGAGCAGAGCCATTCTACAGCTGATACTTCAGGCTAAGGACTGGAATAGGCTTCTAAGCCTACCCATACATTCCCCACATCCACTAGTTGAGGGAATGGACTAGGTCAGTGGTTTTCAACTTGTGGTCCATGACCCCTGGGGGTCTGCAGACTATGTCTAAGTTTTCCAAAGGGCTCCACACCTCCATTTGAAATTTTGTAGGGGTCTGTAAATGAAAAAAGGTTGAAAACCACTGGACTTGAGGATCCTTGTAGCAATGTATTCTCCAGTCCCTCTGCTCACATGCTCTAAGCATGCACCATTTAGGGGTGTGCACCCCCTTCATAGCCTCCACAAATCCTGCCCTTGCCCCCATGCAATAGATCTTCCTTGTTAGGCTGCATGTGACCCTTCTACACCTGTGAAGTAGTGACAGATTTATTGCTTATTGGTCAGTACAGCTAAACTGCAGACATGCATTGTCAAGTTCATCTGTGCATGACTAAAGTTAACAGAGCTGCAGCTGCTGACACAGTGAATTTGGCCCTCAATGTTCACCACACTTAGAGGCAATTATTCCACCACTGAATTCAACTGTCATCACAAAACCAGGGAAAGTTCACTAGTGATTTATCAAGTTAAGGTAAATTCCTTGTTATGCAGAGTTATCTTTATAGAGATTAAACTGTAAAAATAACCTAAAGTATGGTAAATGGCAGTTGTATTAAAAATACAGTTAAAACTGGTCAGCTCTGTAAAATACTACTCATACGCTAGGTTGGCTGGCAATTTCATCTGTAAAACTGGCTTGCCATTCCAGACAATGAAGTTCTATCAAATACTAGGTCATAATACTGACCTGATGCTAAATCAGTAGCATAGCAACTTCTTGTTGTCAACCCAAGAAGTTATTAGAATTGTCTGTTTACTTTGATATTATTGAAAATACTACCCACTACCAAGCACTTAGAGTGTGTGTGTACACATACACAGCATTTTCAGCTGTAGCTCTGAGTGCTTTATGAAGTTAAATATTTTTATCTACACTTTATAAAGGAGAAACTGAGGCACAGAACCAATGTAGTGGATCAGTGGTAGACCTTGGAATACCCAGATCTCCTGACTCCCAGACCAATACATTATTCACTGAACCAGGCCGCCGCCTCAGCATCGCCCCACTAAACTAACAGATGTCTCCAAAAATCAAAATGTTCTTTATTACATAATAGCAATTACTAAAAGGCTTTTTCTTAAAGTAGTTTATTCCCCTGATTCAGTTTTCTCCTTATGGTACTACAGATGCAGTAAAAGCTACGGACTGTGCATCTCAAGCAGATTAGACACAAGAGTGTTACCATACCTCCTTCATCAAAGTCTCTGCATCATTATTAATTTTTCTATCCTAGAATTATACAGATGAATACAACCTTGATAGGCTTGTACACCATCATTATAATTTGAGATCGCTGTTTCCCAGTGACTTAAAGCAATTTTCCACAAATTCATCTGTTACTTCTTCTAAGGTACCTGGCTTCCACTTTGGAACTTGGTCTTTGTCAATCAGCACTATCAGGTAAAGTAGAAAAAGGTGAAGTTATTAGTGAATTTTCTCAATCAAGAGGTCTTCAGATCACATCAAGACAGTAGATTATACTGTTGCTATATTTAGTATATATTAGGAGTAAAATCAATATGCAGTACAGTGTATTTGGCTTCAGTAACGGCTTAACTTTTTACCCTTTTATGAATGTTCACTGAACAGTCACACCCTTGAGTTGCATGGCACTGGGAATATTTTATTGCTCCAGAAATCCCCATAATGACCCCATCCAATATAGCATTCACAAACTATGAGTGATGATCGATACTATTATCAAGCAAGCCTCTAACCAGTCATTTATTGTAGACCTGTTGCTCAATCCTAACATATACAGCTGACCTCCTGGAGGTTGGATGTAGGTATAGGGCTCTATGTAGGATGCTTCAGTTAAAAAAAGAATGATTAAATCCTCATGTAGAATCTCAATTTTGAAGACTGTAGAGGGTAGACATTCAGATTCCTATGGGAATGTCATATAAACTAATATAATAATAATGGGGAAAACAATATGGCAGGATATCCTCATAGGAAAATCAACAGTAGTTATATACAGCTATTGAGAGAGAGAGAGAGAGAAGACATATAATTTCTCTGAAGAGAGAGAGAGAGAGAGAGAGAGAGAAGACATATAATTTCTCTGAAGAATTACCATTGTAATATGTATATTCTGCACAATACTGGAATATACCCCCAATGCTGTATTTAAAAGTCAGTAATGAATGGGCTATATGCAAAAATATAACACAAGAAAATATGATGCAGAGATCCATTCCCAACAGACCAGGAGAAGAAATGGATCTTAGTTAGGAAAAAAGAGAAGGCAAAATAATAAACTTAAATTCCATGTGGATCTCTTACATGTAGCTGGAGATGAGCTAATCAGAGGCTAATTACTGTTACTGATATGTCAGTAGAAGAGACTTTTACATAACCAGCAAGAGACTGCCCCCATCAGAAAGGAACAATAAACAGTATTATATGGTGTGGAAAAAAATCTGAATGGAATTTCAAGAAGGTCCTTTGATGCCTCTGTATACAATTTCAGGGAACTCTTAAAGGTCTGATTATGTAGCTCAATGATTTGACTAAATATATTATTAAAAAATAAAAGCCCTCCACATTTAAATTTAAAAAATGTATTTCAGATGAAAAGAAAAGATGTTCTTTAGTTTTACTCTGATCATATTGACTTGGGCTTTCTTTATTTTAAGCACCAGTCATGAACGCATTAGATAGTGGGCAGAAAGCCTTTTACCCTTGTTCCTCAAAGGTCAATATTATGGCTACAGGAATTTTAATTTGCATAAGAGGGTAATCTACTGTATGGGTTTGAATGAAGGAGCTATGCTGCTGTTTCTAGGGGAGAAAGACAAATCAATCATTCTGCTGTTAAAATTCAAAGTGTGTGCTGGTTCAGTTTCCACCTCCTGCCTCTAGAACATTCAAGCCAGACTCACAACAACCTGTTCTGTGTGTTGCACAGAAAACTTCCCGTCCTTTACACAACTGTGCAGTTAAACCATTCTCCTTATTTACATCTATGGCCTGTGTTATATTGGAGATCAACATACATAATCATAACGGTCCTGCCTGGACCTCAATCCATGAAGTCTCAGGACATGTAGCTTAATAAGTATTATACACTTTGAGCATCTAGTCATATATTTATTGAAGAGGGGAGGGCTAGTGCCACCCCCAGAGACCCTAGATCTGCCGCTGTAGCAAATATGTTCACTCTCTTGTCCTTTAGGAGGCAGGTTAAGTTAGACCCGAAAGGAATGTGGTAGGTTCAGTGACCACACTTAACGTGGCTGGAATTTTAACAGGGTTACTTATCGACATCTTCAAGCACAGCTGAAACCAAATATGACTTGGCCGGCTAAGGAGTTAGGGTCGCAGAACTTGTTTCCCTACAGCCTCTGCCCTTGGAGATAATGGAGGCTATATGCACAAGATAGGTTTCATCCAGTAAACAGGAGACAAAAACTAGCAGGAAGCTCCTTTTCTTATGCTTAAAACTAGCACTTTCCTTTTCAGGCTAGTTTCAAAACCCTGAGGACTGCCTGACATATCACAACTGACCCTGTTCATCCTAAACATACTTTTTTCTTCCCTTGCTTGTTGATGCAGCTGATTGCCAGTTAGCAATATGCTGTGTTGTTTCATAGGCCAGATTTCTGAAAAACCTTTGACCCCAGGGCTTTGCCTTTCTAAATCTTTGTCCAAGTAGCCACAGTTTGCCTTCTTCAATGGAAGCCAAACATTCCATAATCACAGAATATGGGTTGTTAAAATGTTCTCCAATAGTATCCATTAAAATGACTCAAGAAACAGAAAGTTTTCATCTGGCTTGATATGGGGAGGGAAGTGTTGTTGTCAAACAGGAACAGATGAGAAAGTTGGGAGACTTCCGCAGTTGATTTAAGGCAAGTTCATGACTTGTTATTAAGTTAACATTGATTTAACATGAACTCCACTTTTAATACTAGTAAATATCTGACCTCCAAAGACCAAGTTCTTCCGACTCTCATGCATTTAATTACAGACTGCTGTTAAGAGGTGATTAGCACCTGAAACTTGCATTGGCTTTAATGGGATTTGCACATCTGCTCAGCACTTCTCGGGAGGAGCCCTATGTCAGAAGAATGTCTGTTCTCCAGGATGGAAAGTAGCAGCATTACAACCATTTGCAGTGGCGGAGATGTGAAACCAGTAAAAGCCAGACCTAAACATTGCTTTGAAAATTGCAAACATACATTTCTGCCTAGCTACCTGTGCTATTGCAACTAATCACATTTGCCACCTGATGCCTTCGAATTTTTTTTTCCCATATAGGGCAAAGCTTTGTTATCTATGATACCCCTCTGTGATAACTTGGCAAATGCTGTCTTTTAATGGCAACCACTTAAATATTGTTCTAATTTTTAAATCCACATATTATTAAGGTAGGGCTTGATCCTGTGAGGTGCTGAGCATCTTCATGGGAGTTGAGGGTGCTCAGCACCTTGAAAGATCAAACTGTCAATGATTTGGGTGAGTGTGCGTATATATGAAAAAAATAAAATATTACCGTTCATCTTTAAGGGCCAGTTTCTGCCACCCTTTCTCACATTAAATAAGCACCTTATCTGACAAGTGGTCTTAGTGATTTCAGGGAGATTATTCACAGAGTAAGGTACTAATCAGTGCGAGTAGGGGGCAGCTTGGGGTCAAAAATGATTCAAGAACAACTGATAAAATTGCCAATTATATATTGCACAATGAAATTTGAATATTTTCTATTACCTGTAGGCCTATTCTAATCATATAATCGTGCTATAACACACACAAGAAAGAAATACTATGCAGCCAATGGAAGTTTCCCAGCTGTTGCCTCTTGATGCTTGTTTCTTAATCAGTGGTCTGTTTGATTATCTTGAACAGTATGGCAAGCAATCTGTCTCTGTCCTCTGCCCACTTCCCAGATGATTTTAATGACCTTGTGCATTACAAATGAGAATCACGTCTGCTGCTTGACTCTCTCTCTCGTGGCCTTTGAGTGAGGACTGCCATTTTCCATACAGATATATCTCAGTGATTGTGCATATTTTCCCGTAGATTTAGAACATATTCTAGGAACTGCATCTTTTAAATTGTGCATGTTTCCTTCTCTTGTTTGCTAGCACAATGATGCCATACCTGTTCTTTGATAGATATGGCCTGAGGTTTCTTTATTAATACTTAATACTTAACACTTAACACCCTTAATCCACAGAGCTTAAATTTGCTTTACAAAGGTAGATAAGGATTATTAGAGAAAAGGAAATAATATTTAAATGAATTAAATAGATTCTGAATTAAAATCTCATCTGGGTCTCTCAGTCTTAACTAGATCTGCTGTCTTACACTGTAATCTCTTTAGGAAACCATCTCCATCAGTGTCTCATGCTGTGCTAAGTGCATCAGCTCTTAAATAACCACCGAGTCCCATTTTACAGATGGGGAAATTGAGAGGCTTGCACAAGGTCACATAGTGACTCAATGGTAGAGCTGGGGAGAGAACCTTAGTCTGACTCCCAGATCAATCCAATAGACAAAAGCCCTGCTGTTTGCTGCCACTTCCTTTCCTGCCTACCTAATACTGAGAAATGGTTTAAAAAATTCAAAAGTTTATGTACTGTGACAGGGTCGGGCCAGATGGCTACAGGATAGTCATAGAAAACAGATATATTAGCCCGAGGTTAAGCAGGTCCCTTTCCCCTGGGTAATGTGACAGGGAAGTTTCTAGAACAATCAGGAACCTTCTGGAAACAATTAAGACAGGCTGATTAGAACACCTGCAGCCAATCAAGAAGCTGCAAGAATCAATTAAGGCAGGCTAATCAGGGCACCTGGGTTTAAAAAGGAGCTCACTTCGATTTGTGGTGCGCGTGTGAGGAGCTGGGAGCAAGAGGCGCTAGGAGCTGAGAGTGAGAACGCGGACTGCTGGAGAACTGAGGAGTATAAGCATTATCAGACACCAGGAGGAAGATCCTGTGGTGAGGATAAAGAAGGTGTTGGGAGGAGGCCATGGGGAAGTAGCCCAGGGAGTTGTAGCTGTCGCACAGCTGTTCCAGGAGGCACTCTAGACAGCTACATTCCACAGGGCCCTGGGCTGGAACCCGGAGTAGAGGACGGGCCCGGGTTCCCCCCAAATCCTCCCAACTCCTGGTCAGACACAGGAAAAGCTGACCTGGAAGGTGGGTTCACGAAAACGGCCAAACTGAGGGCTGCTGTGAATCTCCAAGGCGAGCAAATCCGCCAATAAGCACAAGACCCACCAAGGTAGAGGAGGAACTTTGCCACAGTACCCAGGAATGTTTTCCATGGTAAGATATAGGTAATGATAATATATGAGACATTTGCCAAAAATAGTTCCTGTGCTAATGAATGTGCTTCCACCCTGAAACAACCAACGTATCTGTTACTAACTTTACCTTTTGATTTTGTGAATCACTTTAGAGCTGTCTGACTGCCTAGCACTCTGGCTGACACCAGAACCGAACTGAATGCATGAGAGATGATAGATCATGCGTCACATCGTCATTGCTCATTATTGCCCACACTGGATATATCTTGTTTCTTTCAGATGACCTGGTACACATGTTTTCATGGTGCTGTACTAGCAGTTAATGGTGCAAGGGGAACATGTCTCCAAAACACTGAAAATACTTTACATTAACAAGAAAGCCTTTTTCTATCGTGTTACAGAATGACAACAGGCCAGTTGGCAATCTATGGCTGCATGGAGGGAATACAATGAGCAGGATAAATTAATGTACTGACCATATTCTCTAAGATGATGATACTGGATATTACTGTAAAAACAAACTGCTGCACGTTTACTTATATCTACAAATGAGCAATAAAGCAATGTGTTTTACCCACTATTAACTTTAAGTGATCTTTCTGGTGTGCATGCTTACCTGCTCGAACACCTTCATAGAAGTCATGGCCACTCTGAAAGACAAAGAAACATGTAAAACAATACATTCCATTTCACCCCCTTTCACTGGGGGCTCCTTGCTTTTGCATCAAGTCCATGCTACCCAAGCCTCTACCCAACTTCCCTTCCACTGCACTCGTCTTTTTCTCTTACTCTTATTACACTGCTCTGGATGTTCTCACCTAACTGCTCCCTTCTCTCTTTCCTTAATTCTGGCTTTTGCACCTTCTTTCATGCTACACCCTATGTTTGGAACAACCTTCTGAGTCAATCCACCAAGTGCTCTCCTCCCATCCAAAATCTTCCTATACTGATCCATCTTACTACCATAGCTCCAAACCTCCTAACATTTGAACTGCTGTCCTGTGCACTGTGGCTGACTGAATTATGGTCACATCATCCTCCCATGGCACATCTCATTGATTTTCCATTGTATGGGAGTTCCACACAATGGGGGCTTACAGGATTGGTCTTTAGACTGTAAACTCCTCAAGGCAGAGCCCTTGTCTTCATTGGTTTTTGATGTACTATGTATGCTTATCACACTTTTCAGTTAAATAATTATGTTCTATCAAATCTTGTTCACATTTTATTAGAAATGGAGTGACAGTACTCATTTGAGGAAAGGAGTAACAATATTTTCAGTATGAATGAGGCATGCCACACATTTCCAAGGTCTATCTTAAACAAAACTATCCATTCAAAAATAATATTTTTATGTCATTTAATATTTTATATGACAAAAAGTGACTAAATGAACAAAGCAGGCTTCCGGTCAGGAATCTTACAGGGTTTCAGTCAGACAACTAGGCTGCTGCGCCAAGCTACGTACTGAACGCGACTTATTGTTTAATTCTCCAGGTTGTAGCTTCACCATATGTTTCTTCGTAAACCACTGTCCCGCCTATAACCTTGTTTTGCTGGCTACCTTTCCTTCCAGTTGCACAAGCAGGCATACAAATGGCAACTGTCATTTTGAACAAAGACACCACTAAGATACTGACAGTTATATATTCGTCAGCTATATTTGTTGATATAATTAGTATGGAATTGCAAAAGTGGGCAACCAGCTTATTATGTCTGGAAGGGGCAAATGTACTGTATTTTTTTCTTACCATGCATGCCTGGCTCAGTCTGTATTCCATAGTTAATACATCTTGCAAGTTCATGGAAGCGCCTTCTCTAAGCTGTCTCAAAGTCATTTTTAAGGACGTAGGTGACATTTTATTAATTGTCTGTGGAAGACATTAAACTTCATTTTTTCTCTATTAGATTTTTGGTTAAATGGTTTTCAAAAATGAAGACAAAAGGTTATTTTATTACAGGTGTAACAATATAAAACAACACTTGGCAATACTCTAGCACTTCCATCCTCCTAAGCTTAACTGCCCGATCCTCTCCACCTCTACGTAACCCACCTCTGCCATGCTGTGATATAAAATCATGTTAATTTGCCCAAAAATCTCTGTTATTCCCCCTTCCCTAAGCTCTTATCTATGGCATATAAAAATAGCACTGAAATCCCATTGATCTCTAGCAGGCTTCCAAGTGGCCTCAAAATTGCCCCTGCTATTTCTTAATCTTTTATTTTTCTCTTGTGCATTGTTTCTCAGTACTACAGCCCCTCTTTCAATGGAGAACAGAAGTCTATCCTGTGAAGACAGGGCTCAGGCACTAAACCAGCAACCTACTCCACACAAGGACCTCTGTGCCCAGGCAGACGCTCATTGTAATCTGAGTTCTATGCAGGCACATATTCCACCCCCAAGGAGTAGTTTGCAGGACTGGGGCTCAAATCTCGACTAATTTGATTTGTCAGTGGACTTCTTGATTCATACTAGGGTAAATTAGAGCAGAATTTGGCCTTTTATATCAGTTCAGTATGAACTATTACACATTTAAGAATTACAGGCACAAGTTAAAAAAACTTCTAAAATTCTGATCATTATTTGCATCATCTACAGCTACAAGAGATCTTGCAGGTAAGCTGTGGATATAGTATTTAAGTTTTGTTTAGTGCAATGATCAGAATAATTTGGGAATATGTGAGTTGGCCCAACATTTGAGTTTAAAAACATGCATTTCTCCTTATACTTATTTGTAAAGACCAGATAATTGGTATGCACTACTGCCACGAAAAAAAAGATAGTGTCTTTTTAATGTAAATAAAAAATAATTGCCAGAAGCCTATCACTCATGAATAACTTTCAATTAAAAAAGGAGTACTTGTGGCACCTTAGAGACTAACAAATTTATTTGAGCATAAGCTTTCGTGAGCTACAGCTCACTTCACGAAAGCTTATGCTCAAATAAATTTGTTAGTCTAAGGTGCCACAAGTACTCCTTTTCTTTTTGCGAATACAGACTAACACAGCTGCTACTCTGAAACCTTTCAATTAAAAACAGACCACGTGCCAGATGGATGAAAAAACATAGTTAAGGAATTAGAACTGAGCTCCAAAAATTTCCTTGGAGAAAAGAATGTAAACAAGAATTCTATTTTTTAATTATGACAAATAGGTGATTAATAAGAACATAAGAACGGCCATTCTGGGTCAGACCAATGGTCCATCTAGCCTAGTATTCTGTCTTCCAACAGCGGCCAATGCCAGGTGCTTCAGAGGGAATGAACAGAACAGGTCATCATCAAGCGATCCATCCCCTGTTGCCCATTCCCAGCTTCTGACAAACAGAGGCTAGCGACACCATCCTGGCTAATAACCATTGATGGATCTATCCTCCATTAATTTATCTAGTTCTTTTTTGAACCCTGTTATAATCTTGGCCTTCACAACTTCCTCTGGCAAAGAGTTCCACAGGTTGACTGTATTTTTTTAAATCTTAAAACTGAAGGATTTTATGTAAGCATGAATAAATGATCCACACCATTCATACCACAATAGTGTTCTCTGATTTACAAAAGATTGTTTATTACTACAATGGGAAGTGGCAGATGGTAAGATTTACCTATTCATATTATCAATGAGGATATTAAACTCTTAACCCACAGACTGAAATAGCAGATTTCCAGTCATTAACACCAAGGAATTTTCTGCTCCTCACTGCTCTGATTTCTCATTCTCTCTCCCTCCAGATGATAGCCCCTAGAGAGTAATAACCTTGTTTGCCTGTTTACTTATGTCTATGAACTCAACTGCTGTGCAAGCAGTAGATCCTATAATTGTAACTAGTGATTCAAGTTTTATCACAGTTTTGCATGTATCCATCAGCTGGTTTGAAAATAGAGCTCGGGGAAATAGTTTGGAAAAAATACATCCTGGCTTGAACTGATAACTTTCATAATTCCATTAATTATCACAGACCCGTAGCTGCTTTTTTGTACTTTAGCTCCTCTACCTCCCTCCCTCACCCACCCCGACTGCAATTTGCTGCTCTTCAGACCTGTTCAGCAATTCCTAATAAAGCCGCCTTAATTTCCCTTTTTCCCCTTAATTTCCTTTTCTCTTCCTGGCCCCATTTCCACATAGGGCCCTTTTCCCCTTTGCTCAGTGGCAAACTCTTGTGTGATCTGGAAATCTTTGCTGGGACCAGACCAGATGTTATATTCAAAATTCTGGGCACCTATGAGCTTCCCTGGGTGAAATATGCACAGTGCACCGTGGGGCACCACTGATCAAGGGGAGCACTGAAGCAGGAAAGATTTGAAAACAGCAGTTTACTAAGCTAATGCACACAGAGGCTGCCAAAGAGGCTGGAGGTGGAGAGAGCATTGCTATAAATCGTGCAGGGAATCAAGGAAAGGGAAAGAAAAAGAAGCACAAAAGGTGAGTGTAATGCAGAAAAAAGGAGTCACCAATATATCTATAAATGAACTGATAGTATAAGAGGAAGATCATGTCTGGGGAACAAGATCAAAGAGGAACAAGTTGCATTATGAGGGAGAAATAAGAGAGGCAGATAAGGAAGGGTGTTGCCACTCATTCCATTTTTTAAGGATCATCTTTATTTCAGTGTAGGAGTCCTGCATACTGCAAGTTGGATTTGCAACACCATTAAACATCAGAACTTTATCATCGTACGGTGAGGGAACTAAGGGTAAGGAATGGAGTCCTCCCAAAAATAACAACTGGAATAGCAGCATTGCTCCCTTTCAGTCACACAATATAGGTTGCTAAGAAAGTTTCTCATATGCACCATAGCATCCAGTTTCTGGGAAGAAGAGGGTTGGTTGTTTGTTTGTTTGAGATGAGTGACAGAAGTAGCCCTTTCCCCTCAACTGTAAGGGAGGAAGAAACAAAAGGGTTATTTACAGAGATGAAGAGTTAATTATGTCCTGCAGGGAGAATTGGGAGTGAAAAACCTTACTATATTAAGAGAAACAGGTGACAAAGCTGGGATCCAGAAAGGAACTTAGGCATTGCAACACTGAGGGTCACAGTGCCTAGGAAGTCACAGGAATAACACTGAAATCCACACGGCCAAATTAGGCACTTAGGCTCCCTAGACAATGAATGGGGAGAGACGGGCACCTTAGAATGCACTCCACAAAGCCAGCACACTAGGTGAGGCTCTGCCTAAGCTAGCCAACGAAATGCCAATGAGAAGAGTGTGTGCTCAGCCCCGCCCCTACGTCAGAGAGCTGCTGCAGTCCAGGCTGCAGGGAGGTGCCTATGTCATCTTAGCGATCCACAAATGGGAACCGGCTGTCTGGAATCAGGCACCTAAGCTGTGTTTGAGCAAGAGAATTAGGCGCCTGCCTCCCTACACATAAAACAACCAGAGGAGGTGGTGGAGCGGCTGCTGCTGCCACCTTATAATTTTTAGCCTCCTCTGGCAGAGGGGGAAATTGAACCTGGGTCTCTTACTTCCCAGGCGAGTGCTCTAACCACTTGGCTAAAAGTTGTGGGAGAGCACGCTCCCACACATCAATTCTGAATGGACCTGCTCTAGTAGGCACGTGCAGAGCCCCCCACAAGATGGGCTCTACAGGCAACTCAGCTGCTGAATGGCTGACTTCTCCTGGTTTGTGACTCACTCTGGGCTTAGGCAGGAGATAGGTGTCCAGATACCTACGGGGGGCAACAGTGCATGTGCTCAGCGGCAGAAACGTGGGCATGGAGGGAACTTTTATTCTGAAAAACGTAGGCACCGAGTTTAGGCACCTACAGGGCTTGGCAGGAGTTTTGGATCACAGTGGAGCCACTGGGACTAAGGTGCCTAAACCTGATACTTAGGCACCTAGATCTGGGTATAAATAAATAGGGCCTAAGTACCTTTGTGGATCCCACCCAGAGTGTTTGATTAATCTGAGGTTTCCCGTGTTAACTCATTTTAAGTTTAATTGAGCTCAAGGAATCAAGGCTACTCTCCCCTGTATGAATGAGTAATATGTGGCACTTTCTTTCTTCAAACTATTCAACTTTTTCCAAGCTCTTTCTACCCCCAAGTAGCTAAAGCAGTAAACTCCATACTGCTGTATCAGGAAAACATAATCTTTGCTGGGTCCTAAAAAGCCTAAAGGAAAGTACTGGTGTCTAATGTGGCACTTCTCCTTAGAATAGAGAGGAGACACTCATTACTGGCTTGCTAAAAGAGAGACCAGTCAACTCTATTAATCTGAGATGAACTCATAAGGTTTCTTTTGGTTGAACTAAGAATGATAAGGAAAAAAAACAAAACAAAAGGAAAATGCTGCACTATCCAGCAGAGTAAAGGAAAACAATTTAAAGGGAACTGTATGGCTACAATTTTCTGTTGGCTCATTAGGAACTGCTCTTCTGAAATGCTGACGGGACCTCTGGTAATTTGGGTGCAAGAAGCTTCAAGTTTTGGGGAGGGCTGTGTGTGTTTTCTTTTCTGCTTTTATTATTAGCTTGTTACTGTAATCCAATAGGATCTCGTGATGTGGTATATCTCAATCCTGGCTCTGAAAGGGTTAATGTGGGTCTGAAAGGCCAATTAACTCATCTGGCTGCACCTGCAGGGTGGGTCAGGCACTGGGTGATGACTATATAGAAAGGAAGCACAGATGAGAAGGAGGCTGCAGGGAGAGTGGGAAAGCATACTTCAGTTCCTTGTTTGGTGTGAGAGACTGGAGAGACTGGGTGGGTCACAGACGAAGTTTAGGGGGAGAGTTAGCTCTGGAATCCTCTGCTGAGTAACAAAGGCTGACAAGAGGCAGCAGAGATACAGAGAAGTCAGTGGGGTGGAGCAAGCTCTGGTGGTGAACCCTGATAAGGGGGCAGGACCTGGACTTCCAAGAAGAAAGCCTTGG